TTACAATATTTTGAGAGGGGGGTGTAACAATAAATAGGACAATTACAAGAAAACTTACAGGAACAATAGGTTGAAGAGGACCCTGCTCAAACGAGCTTACAGACTATTGGAGGTGGGGTATTTGAAACATTAGGACAATAAATATCAAGTAGGAGTGAAGCAGAGCTGGAGGAGAGAGCAAAGCACTGTCCCATAGGAGAGAGCAGGAGACAGGTATGTAAGGTAGAGATTACTCTGGGAGGCCATAAGCTTTCCTGAAGAGATGGGTTTTAAGGCCCTTCTTAAATGATTGAAGACTAGGGGAGAGTCTGATGGCAGTAGGCAAGCTATTCCATAGGAGAGGAGCCGCCCGCGAGAGGTCCTGCAAGCGCGAGTTGGCCGTACGGGTGCGAGCAGCGGTCAGGAGGTGGTCACGGGCAGAGCGGAGGGTACGTGGAGGGGCATATTTATGGATCAATGAAGAGATATAAGCGGGGCTAGAACTGTTCAGTGCTTTAAATGTATGGGTTAGCACTTTGAATTGACTCCTATAGCATACAGGGAGCCAATGTAAGGACCGGCAGAGGGGTGAGGTGTGAGAGGACCGACTAGAGAGGAAAATCAGTCTAGCTGCAGCATTCATTACAGACTGTAGCGGGGCAATACGGCTTTTGGGGAGACCAATCAGGAGAGGGTTACAGTAATCCATGCGGGAAATTACTAGAGCATGGACAAGCTCCTTGGTAGCATCTTGCGTAAGAAAGGGGCGAATGCGGGCTATGTTTTTGAGTTGGAACCTACAGGACTTGGCAACAAACTGGATGTGAGACTCGAAGGTGAGACCAGAGTCAAGTATGACGCCAAGACAGCGCGCTTGCAGGGATGGACTTATGTGGATATCACTGACTTGAAGGGAGAGCGAGAGAGGAGGATCAGTATTAGGAGGAGGAAAGACAAGGAGTTCAGTTTTAGAGAGGTTAAGTTTCAGAAAGCGTGAAGACATCCAGTCAGAGATGGAAGAAAGGCAAGCAGTGACACGTTGCAGGACAGCAGGGGAGAGGTCCGGGGAGGAGAGGTATATCTGAGTGTCATCAGCGTACAGGTGGTAGTGGAATCCAAAAGAGGCAATCAGTTTACCAAGAGAGGTGGTATAAAGAGAAAATAGAAGGGGACCAAGGACAGACCCTTGGGGAACTCCAACCGAGACAGGACGAGTGGAGGAGGTATCCTTGGAAAAGGAGACACTGAATGAGCGTTGGGAGAGATAGGAGGAAAACCAAGAGAGGACCGAGTCACAGAGACCGAGCGATTGAAGAGTTTGAAGGAGGAGAGCATGATCAACGGTGTCAAAGGCAGCAGAGAGGTCAAGGAGAATTAATATGGAGTAATGACCTTTGGATTTAGCGGAGATTAGGTCATTAGTCACTTTGATAAGAGCAGTCTCAGTAGAGTGGAGAGGGCGGAAGCCAGACTGAAGAGGGTCAAGGAGAGAGTTGGAATTAAGGAAGCGGGACACACGGGTAAAGACAAGCCTTTCCAAAAGCTTTGATGAGAAAGGGAGCAGGGATATGGGACGATAGTTAGAAGGGGAGGATGGGTCAAGAGATGTTTTTTTCAGGATAGGTATTACAGTGGCATGTTTAAGGTCAGCAGGAACAGTGCCAGAAGAGAGAGAGCAGTTAAAGATGTGTGTTAGGGTAGGCACAAGACAAGGGGAGAGAGATCTGATGAGGTGAGATGGGACAGGATCGAGCGGGCAAGTGGTGGGGCGAGAGGAATGGAGAAGCGCAGCCACCTCTTGTTCAGTAGCCGGGTAGAAAGTCTGGAGGGTAGGGAAAGCAAGATTTACATGTGGTTGAGAAAGAGAACGGCAAGGAGGGGAGAATTGTTTCCTTAGCTGTTCAATCTTGTCGGTAAAGTAGCATGCAAAGCTATCAGCTGTAAGGTTAGTTTGGGGGGTGGCCACAGCAGGGCGGAGAAGGGAATTAAAGGTGTCAAAGAGGCGTCTGGGATTGCGGGAGCATGAACTAATGAGAGAGGAAAAGTATGACTGTTTGGCGAGGGCGAGGGCTGCGCTGTATGAAAGCAACATGAATCTATAATGGAGAAAGTCTGCCTGGGTGCGGACTTCCTCCAGGAGCGTTCAGCACAACGGGAGCAACTCTGCAGATAGCGTGTTGATTTATTATGCCAAGGTTGGGGTCGTGTTCTCCTCGAGGTGCATGTTTTGAGCGGGGCTGCAGCGTTCAAGGCAGATGTGAGGGTAGTGTTATATGTGGAGATGGCCAGTGAGGGACAGGAGAGGGAAGGGATGGATAGCAGTTGTGAATCAATGTCAGCTGACAGCTGCTTGAGGTCAATAGAGTTAAGGTTCCTCCTGAGCTGAGGGGGGTTAGGCTGAGATTGTTGGGTGAGGGGGTAATTGAGAGCAAATGATAAGAGGTGGTGATCAGAGAGAGGAAATGGGGTGTTGCAGATATTAGATATTGTACATGAATAAGAGAAAATAAGGTCGAGGGTATTGCCAGCTACATGAGTGGGAGAATTAGCCCACTGCAAAAGTCCAAGGGAGGAAGTGATTGAAAGTAGTTTAGAGGCTGCTGGGGTCAAAGGTGGGTTAATGGGAATATTGAAGTCTCCAAGAATTAGGGATGGGATGTTGGAAGAGAGGAAGTAGGGTAGCCAGGCAGCAAAGTGGTCAAGGAAGAGGAGAGGGGAACCAGGGGGACGATAGATTACGGCAATGTTAGCAGAGAAGGGTTTGAAAAGGCGAATTGAATGAATTTCAAATGATGGGAAAGAGAGGGAAGGGGGGGTAGACAGGGTTTTAAAGGTGCAGTGGGGTGAGAGAAGAAAACCTACACCGCTACCTTTAATCTCTGCTTGTCTTGGGTTGTGGGTAAAGTGAAGACCACCAAAAGACAGTGAGGCAGGTGTAGCAGTATCAGAGGGAGAGAGCCATGTTTCTGTTAGTGCAAGTATGTTTAGGGAGTGTGATACGGAGCTATGGAATTCAGACGATTAAACCGAATGTAAACAAAGTACAGTAAGTACTATGGACATCTATAGCCTGGTTGGCCTGATATAAATACATCATGCTGAGTGTGCCCCTTATTATTAACCTGCCATTATTACTGTATTTAAAGTAATGGCACTAAGGGTGCAGGGAGGATTTACCCATCTTAGTGTGTGGAACATGTGTCTCTGAAGTGTGACTTTACCAAAAGGGTCATTACAATCCCAGTCACATTACAAAGACCTGGCAGTAGGTGCTTGGCCTTTGATGAAATCTGCTAATTTTCACAGCTGTTGTAGGAAATGAGAGAGAATAAAAGACTCTAAAAGGCAGTCTTAATACACACGCACCACACACACTAAGGGCCAATACTGATATTTATTTATCTTGTAAAGTACAAGAAAGATCTGTGGTGATGGACAGCCCACCAGGGTCACTGAGCGCTGGGGTTTTTAACATTTGTGGAAAAAAAGCAAAAGTAAACCAAATTACAAAAATGTCAACCAATATACACTCATCAATATCCACCCACATCTGCAAACTTCCATCCAGATTTATCCAGAGTAGTTTCACATTGGCCCTATGCCCCTAAATCACTCAATGCCCCTAAAAGTAAAAATAAATAAATTACAAATAAAATAATAAAATCAATTTGGGTCCCCTGTTAATTAGGAGAGGTTCGGAGGTATCACCCTCTATTCAATCAGATCTGGGTGGCAATGGAAGGGTTAATAGACAAAGCAATCTCATCCTCAGATCTGGGTGGCAATGGAAGGGTTAATAGACAAAGCAGTCTCATCCTCAGATCTGGGTGGCAATGGAAGGGTTAATAGACAAAGCAGTCTCATCCTTAAGGGGATCCTATAGTGCCAGGAAACCAAAGCCGCTTTCCTGACGCTATAGATTTCTAAGGTCCCCCACTCCCCCTTCAGTAACTTGCCTGACTCTGCCCACGTTCCTCCCCCACAGACGTCAGCTGGCAGGGGAGATCTAATGCACATGCGTGGCAATGGCCGCGCTTGTATTAGGATTTTCACATAGGAAAGCATTCATCAATGATTTTCTATGGGGAAAAATGTGACGCTGGAGGTCCTCATGCAGTGCTTGAGGACGTCCAGCGTCAGATAACGGACCGAAGGTCAGCTTCGATTCTGGAAGCCTTCTAGTGGTTGTCTGTCTAGACAGCCACTGTGGGAGGACTTATAGCTGCAATGTAAACATGCTTTACATAACAGCACTAAATGCAAAAGGGACCCAGCACCCAGACCACTTCAATAAGCTGAAGTGACCTGGGTGCCTAAGGTGTCCATAAGGATTTGGGATAGTTTTTTAAATTTTGTTCTATGTATTTTGGCTGATGAGTATTGTAGCCACTGCTGCTGCCAAGGATTTTTGTATTTTTCTATTCACCTTTGTATCAAACAACCAATGTTACAACGCTGCCTCCCACCCCATGTGTTCCTTATTAAGGGTTAATAAGTATATAGGGGTTTAGAAAAATACCCCTCTCTGTCTAACTAGAGAATTTTTTTGTACCTGAAGCTGAGAGAAGCAAGGTGAATTGTTAGTGTAGGACCCACCGTAGAGGTGTGCCTTGACGTGGCAGGTGGGCTCACACCTAATGGCCATTGGAGTGATACTAATAAAAATCTACAGTTATAGTGAATGGGGACTTGGGATAACACACAAGTAACTTTTTTCAATCCAGAATATTTAACTCCCAAACAAAATACATGACAGTGATAATAGTACAACTTGTAAGCTTGTTTGAGCAGGGCCCTCAACACCCCCTCTTTATGTGCGTCCAGCTCATCTTGTAAATATACATGTCTGTTAATCCACCCATTGTACAGTGCTACGGAATTTGTTGGCATTTATTAATAATAATAATAATAATATAATGACTTAAATGCCATTAAAGGTGTTTATTTAAATCAATCACAGACAACATTAAAACACTGTTAGTATTGTATTAATCATTTCCATAGTAACACACCACTGATCAGTTTAAATTAAAATATATATTTATAAATATATCCATTTGATATAATATAATGTGACATTTGTCCTATAAAATACAAGAAAATCACATCTGTGGATGTAGTAATCAGAGAGTGATCAAGGTTATCCTTTCCAATGAGGTGAATCAGGTGGGAATCCTGGATGTCACCCCATGCCACGCCGAATACAGGTAAGCTAAATTAATGAGACTCGTGTTCCAAATCACAGTTCCACGTGGCCCACAAGAACCTGGACTAGACCTGCTGCAACTGAACCTCCCAATGCCAGGAAGCATAGGAAGCATTTGCTAAGGGGCAAAGAGAACAGGTGATACAGCCATCGGGTAAACTTTATGGCCCCTTCCATTCTATATTTGTCTGCTATTCAGAACACCTCTTGTAAGTTACATTTGTAATTACATAACTGAGAGGATCAATAGAATGAGTCATTGGATATACACAGGTGAAGATCTGTTTTCTCTCTCAATATTAGATTTTATTAATCACTTTCTGGAGTTTTATGGCTGTCAATGAAATGGTGTTAAAATCAGACCTGGGGCTTTCCAGGAACCCAGAACTTCAGCTCAGGAAAGCCCCCCTTTGTAGGCAGTATAAGCACCGTTTACGTCTTTCAAAACTAAAAGCGTTCATTCTAACTTACTCTTTTTATATATCTCATCAACACCGCTTATTCCTTTATTTAACAGAACAAAACATCTGCTTTTGCTTTGGTATGAAAAATATTTTTCAAAACCATCTGTAAGTTACAGTGATCACATTCTTATATGTGTTTTCATGAATAATAACGCATCACTTAGCAGCTGTTTCCCTGAAGAATAGGATCTGTTGGTATCTGAGCTGGTCCTCGATAGTCCTGACCTGGCTTAAACCAAACATCCATTCAAAAGGAGCTTTATCCAATGTTACCGGGAAGAGTAACAGCTCCACTATGCTCGTTCCATGTGAACGAGAAAGTGCTCTCTACGGTGATGGTCACCATCAACACCCTTTTAAATGCTCAGAATTTGATTTTCATTCCATGGGTGTACTGGGGTAAAGTTCCTCTTCGTTTCTGTCCTTCGACAAAACCTCTTTTTCCAGATGATGGCGAACAAGAGAAGAAAGATGAGGCAGCAGAGGCCCAGAGAAACCATCCCTACTGGAGAAGGCACAAAGCACGTTCCATCCGTGAGTGTGATACAAATCAGACATAGGAGCAAAATGAAAAATAATAATAAAATTTTAAAAATACTTACCGGTTTCTAGAATTTGGTATGGGTGGCTACGCTTGATTGGTTCATCCTAGTAAAAAAAAAAAAAATTTAATCAGATTTCATAGGATGTTTAGGTAAAGTCTTCTATTATCTATTAAAGCCATTTATTGAGCCCAATTAAACACTATCAAAGGGAAATAAATAAATACCAACATGCCACTTACTTGTGGTCCTAATGGAAGTAAACATACGTTGATTACCCAACATAACATTATTGACCGTTGCTTTGGATCTTTTTCTACATACAGGTCCGAAATAATTGGACACTGACACAATGCTCATCTTTTTGGCTCTGTACGCCACCACAGTGGATTTGAAATAAAAGAACAGAGATGCAATTGAAGTGTAGACTTTCAGCTTTAATTTAAGGGGTTGGAATCAACTCAAGACCGTTTGAATGCTTAACTGATTAAGAAATAACGAAGGAATAGCTCACTACTGTCCATGAAAAAGAGGTGGCTACATATTAAAGAGCTAAACCCGTCCTCCAATTTGGATGTGAATACCCTCAAATTAAAGCTGAGACACTGCACTTCATATTTAACTGTAACTTGAATTTATTTTGGTAAACAGCTAAAATAACCAAACTTGTGTCAGTGTCCAGATATTTCCGGAACTAATTGCATGTTCCATAACCCTTAAATACAGTGATCATGGATAAATGTATGGGTATTAAACTCAGCTTTTAGAAATACAGTGACCCACTTACTGTAGTGTATATATGTATCTTTAAAGTGCTGATAATGAGTCTGCATTGGCTCCAAGAACAACCCAACAAAGTACAATAAATAGCGACTGTGCAGATTGCTAGAACCGTGCAAATACTACGAATGGGCCAAATACAGTCCATAATATTATCTTACAGCTTCCAATCAGAAGTAAATATTCATTTGTGTATAAAGGATAAATGAGAGCATTAGTAGTGTAATAAATGTGATATTTATAGTATAGCACATTTAGTCTCCAATATTAACATGTTAGAAACTGTCTTTTTCTCTCACTAGTGTCAGCTTTTAAATAAAGTTTAATGACAGTCAGAAACATTCTGAAGAAATAGGAATGTGCGTATTGGCAAAAGAATAGCAAGCAGCTTGTCTCCGAGTGCAGCAGTGTCAACATGCCCACAATCGTTTACCAGGTTCTTTGGAGTCACTTTATGGAGAACATTCTAACTAACATTCCAAATGTGGAATCCTGGGGAACTCACGTGGTCAAAACACGTTAACCGACTGGGATTCTACTTTCACTCACAAACCCATTGCCCCATTCTGGGACTTGGCTCTCACCTAACCTGAACTTTCTTTCTGGAATTGTTGTGCTCTCCCAAAATGTTATGGGCTTTATTTGGCATGTTTATACTATTTGCACATTCACTGAATATTGTAATGTAAGATTTTCGAGACATTATTTTTTAATTAAGCTAAGCCTGCCTAGTCCCAGGTTTAGCCACTAAACACATTATTGCACTGAATTTAAATCTAATCGCAAAACTGAGACATCAATAGCCGATGGAGATAAATTCTCTAACTCACTATAGTCACAGATAGGCTATTTATGTCTTTTCCTATTAAATATAATTGTAATTATACTGGATAAGAGCCGGTGTTTTAAGCCTTTGAATTATGAGGCCACTTACAATATATGTCTCCGGTCTGTCCATTAAACAGGTCACATCCTTTTCTTCCAGGAACCGACATAGGAAGCGAAAGCTGCAGTCACTAAAATCCTCATTCATGTTATACCTGATAGAAGGGAATATATAAAATCACAATGTTATAAAATGCAATATAACCACTATAAAGCCCCTTCCTGCCATACATAAACCATCCACAAGGTGGCACTGTATCCATGGAACTGCATTCTCCATTCTACTGCTAGAGAGACTTCCTTCCCATTTTATTGAATAAAGTCACTTTTTTCAAGTATTAGAAACTGAAAACAGACATTCCAAGTGCTTAATGGCCATTAAATCCTGCCATGAAAATGGTTTGACATTACCTGAAAATAAATGTGTCCACAGAGTCCTTGCACCATAACCACTACAAAAACTGTTTAAATTTGGAGTGTCACTTTAAGAAAATAAAGTGTAATTTAACCATTTTGGCCTAGTTAATCTTTTTAATCTAATTTTTCTATATTTTTAAAAAAACAGTTTTTTTTAAATACAATAACATTGTTTAATAACTGATCATATAACGTGTCTGTTAAATATACAAATCCACGTTGTATCTGAGAGCATTGCTCCAGACTCTTCGCTGTGATCTTATATGACGACAAAATAATAAACTTGAAATGTCCTGTTAGGACTGTCACCATCAGGGCCTTAGACAGAAGTTACATCTGTAATAACTTATCCAGGAACACAGAGCAAAGTAACCAACTGTGTACCGATACTTGAATTTTATTTTCTATTGGTTTACCGTTGAATGGATCCTGTCCTGCTCCTTAGTTTAAATTTGCTGCTCTCACTGCCTTAGCACAGTTAGAGTTGACAGATCATGAATGGCTCCTTGGTAGTGAATGGGTTATAACAGAACACTACATCTTGTCTTAATGTGGTGATACACAGTTTTATAATCACTCAGCTGTTTTAATATCTGGTCAGTGATGTTTCTAATGATTTAACCCACCCTGCCTCCCAGAATATTGCCCGGTTTTTATATTATTTTCAGTGTGTTATGAAAACTGGTGCAGGACTCACTGTAGGAAACCATAGACACGGGTGATAGTGGCCAGAAGGATACATGTTTATGGCAAATGAGTTTAAAAGTTTTATTTTCATAAATATTAAAACTGCCTCAAAGTTTAAAATGGGACATCACTGTATTTATTACAAAAGAAGCAAACATTGACCCCAAACATAAGACCTCAGTAAATCTTGAACAACTCTGAAATTCCTAACCAGCATCTGCTGTGGGTTAATGGATCCTCACCCGGTCCGTCTGGATAGCAAGCATTTTCCAGACCCAGCTGGACAGTAACAGGAGTCTGTGTCATGATCCATGCCCAGATTGTGCCCCATCTCGTGTGCCACATACTTTGCCAGCTCCTTAGGGCTTACACCCGTATCCTAAAGGGTTAAAAAGAAAAACGCATTGACTGGAAGACACGGTATTCCAACATAGCCATTGACAGGCTTTCCCACTTACTCCATTTACATCTTTCATAAAAAAATCCCAAAAAGCCTCCTCAGTTTTTTAATTTATTTATTTTATAATATTCCGCCTAGTTTGATTCCTGCCCGTGGATTTTAGAGTTGTGTATGGCATTTCTGCTGAATAGTCACCAGCTCTGCTCATTCATATATGGTGCATCATAGCAGCCTGTCCAATGGGTTTCTAATGCAGCCTAATGGGTAACTGACTGACTACCTACTAACGTGCAGGTGTGGACACTCTGTGTGGCTCATAGTTATTTCACAATAACCATAGACACATTTATTCCTAGTGTAGATAAACAGATAATGGTTTGCATGATTAAAATTTGGAATAAAAACATTTTGCTGCCACTTTTCCATTTATAATATTATTATTACATGGTGACATGGTCTGTATCCTGACTCTGCCGTACATACACTCTGGGACTGGATATCTGTACTATGTAACCTAGATAGCAGGTACCGACCTCTAACTACCTACTGCACCTGTATGTCTGTCAGTCAGCAGCCAATCGGGAGAACTGTGACCTGGTGCATGCTGGGAGGGATGAAGGAAGTTTAAATGTACACATGTCTTGAAATATATAAATATTCACATGGCATGAGTTCTGCTGTTTACCAAGGAGAGTGAGATATATATAAATATATATATAGTAATATAACACTACGGTACACTCATTTTATTCACCTTTATAACTCCACCACTATGATCCGGGGTGCACATTTTTGCAACAAACGCCTCTCCAAGAGCGTGGTTCTTAAACTGTTTCCCACTGCAGGTGATGAAGAAGGAAAACACAGGTTAGTGCTGGAGACACTGTGTCAACTATCTTTACACATCATTCATTAAAGCAGGGTCTCAGACTGGCGGCCAGAGCGATATCATTCTCTTTATTATATCTTTAACTATAACTGGTATTCAGTTTATTTATTACTGGGAATCACATAATGATATCTACACTGAGCAGCCACAACACTAAAACCACTGACAAGTGAAGTGAATAACATTGATTATATCCTTACAATGGCGCCTGTCAAGGGGTGGGATATATTAGGCAACATGTGAACAGGCATTTCATGTGATGGAAGCAGGGAAAATGGGCCAGCGGAAAGAACTGAGTGATTTTGACAATGGCCAAATAGTGATGGCTAGATACTTGGGCCAGATTATCGGCAAACAGCAAGTCTTGTGGGATGTTCCTGGTATAAAATGGTTAGTACCTACTAGAAATGGTGTACGGAAGGACAACCATTGAACCAGCATCAGGGTCATGGGAGCTCAAGGCACACTAAGGTATGTGGAGAGGGAAGGTTAGTCTGGCTGTACTGATCACACAGACCAGTTACTAAAATAGCTGAAAAACTTAATGCTGGCCATGATAGAAAGGTGTCAGAACACACAGAGCATCACAGTTTGCTGCGTATGGGACTGCGTAGCTGCAGACTAGTCAGAGAGCCGATGATGATCCTTGCCCACTGCCAAAAGCACCTTCAATTGGGACATGAACGTCAGAAGTGGACAATGGAGCAGTGGAAGAAGGATGCCTGTTCTGATGAATCCCGTTTTGTTTAGATCAGGTGGATAGCTGGGTGCGTGTGCATCGTTTACCTGGGGAAGAGATTGCAGCAGAATGCACTATGGGAAGAAGGTAGGCCGGTGGAGGAAGTGTTACGTCTGGGCAATGTTCTTCTGGGAAACCTTGGATCCTGGATGTTCTTCTGGGAAATCTTGGATCCTTGGTAGTGATGTCCCGAACTGTTCGCGAACGGTTCGCCACGAACGGTTCGCCGCGGACTCCAGTCAGCAGACACATTCTAGCCAATCAGCAGCAGACCCTCCCTCCCAGACTCTTCCACCTCCTGGACAGCATCCATTTTGAAGCTGCATTCTTAGTGAGCTGTCCAGGAGGTGGGAGGGTCTGGAAGGGAGGGTCTGCTGCTGATTGGCTGGAATGTGTCTGCTGACTGGAGTCCGCGGGCGAACTAAACCTTGACACATGCCACCTACCTAGAGATTGTTGTAAACCACATACACCCCTTCATGGCAATGGTGTTCCCTAAAATAGTTTAAGAATTTGAGGAATATGTCAAAGAGTTCAAGGTGCTGCCAAATATTGTCCCCTAAATGTGGTCTCACTCTTCTAGTAACAGAAAAATAAGAAAACTGTGAGAATACAGTTTTATGACACAAAAGCAATTCCTTTTTAAATAACTATAATAGCAAGCAGTTGGCTGAGTGGTATTGATTTTCTCACAGTTTATATTCGTTTACAGTGTTTTCATAAAAAATCTAACTTGTAGGTTTGCTGAAAAGTGTCTCCTTGAAATTTGTTGTACGGATTAGGACTCTCTAAAACCATGGGCTTTTCTTTTTATTACCACTGAGTTAATAGTTAGCAGTTTTTCTTTTCCTGATGGACAGAGGACAAACCTTATGAGTTGCATGTTATCATGATGTTTCCGGGGCAGCAGATGCTGTCTTCTCCACTCTAGGACCTCTAGTAGGGTGGAAGATGCAGTCTCTGAAACATTGGCCTTATTTTCCTCTGTCCAAATTTCAATCCCCACCAAAAAGATTTGAAAGCTGATCTTCAAAAATATCTATAACAATTTAAATAAAATATATCATCTGGTGTTGAATCATATTTCTTTACACAACAAAACCAAGGAATTACTTGATGACGTTTTTCAGGAACCCCATTTAACAATTTATCTCACCACAGACAGACATTCACTCACTGAATTTGTTCAAGAAGTCACAATTGTTATCTTATGGGTCTAACACATAAATTTTGAAACCTTCTGAGTATATAACGCAGTAGTCCAACATGTCCTTAAACCACTGCATGACTAAAATAAATACTAGTGAGTCTTTCTGTTGGTCGAGCAGTACCTGGTTAAGGTGGTGAGCAATGGTCATCAGATGTTGTCTGGTTTTATCCAAGTTCTCCCCATGACGCTGAAACTAGATGATACATTAATACCTTCAGATTCAAAATCTCTGAGCTATTATAACATATTCACACAGAAATCACCCAGTATATTTCAACATCACTGATGAAGCCTAGCACATTGGTCAGTAAGGTGGCAGACAACATGCATTATGGATTACAGAATATCCCAACAAGCTCAATGAAGTTAACCAGTCCTGACAGACACATTCTATACAATTTCAACCCAGATTTCTGGACACAATTGTTCCACCTTTGCTGGACTTACCTGTCTTGGATGTATATATATATATATACCGGTATATATATATATAAAAAAAACAACTAACTTTTTCACTCTCATGGCAAAGACCCTTATAAATCATTCCCATTTAAATGACTAAATGACTTGAAATCTCTTTATTTAACTCGTATCCTACCAGAATTCTGAGACAACAGTTGTGTAAATTTATTGTGGATCTTCACCCATGCGCGGCTGTAATATAGTGGTTGTGACAAGGTCACACATGTCAAGAATTATTCCAATTATTTATTGTATTTTTATTGTAGCAGTCTCATGTGTGGTCTCTAAAAATATTCAACAAACTTTTATAAAAGTTTCCTTGGCTGTCCATATTTTTCTACTTATTAATTATATGAAAGATTCTGAAATAGTTCTGTGATTCCACTAAGATAAAGTCTAACAATTAGATCTTGTTTTAAGTATATTGGGGTTATGAAGGCAAGTCATATGCTTTCTTAATTTCTTAATAAAAACAGAAAAATCACAATTATGGTTCTGACCTTTTCTGGTTTCCTTCACTAACTGTTAGATTTTGGTGAATAAAGATTGAAAACTGTATTGAACTCGGGTTCTGATTGCATGAAACATGCTACCGTGCACTTACCTCTGCTTTATCAGCTACCAAGAACAGCTCAATGTTGTAATTGTCCGGCACATCCTTCTAGAATCAAAAAATCCATAAATGTGAATAATGTCACCTTGTATACTAAAATAAAATATAAAAACGTTCACTATAAGGACCCTGATATACGCCCCGGTCAGCCTGAGATTAGTGGCACTTACATTCTAGAGTTGAATTAATAGGCTAAAGAGCATTGGTTCTGCATTAATCCGAAAGGACTAAAACTTGCTGTGAACTGGTCGTCGTGAGGAATGGAACACAAGAACAAAATTGGTATTTCCCCTTTCCTACTCACTGACAATTTAGGATTACAGATATATTTATGGTTATTATGATTTCATGCAAGGGACATGCCTACCTTTCTGGAAGGAGTCTGCAGGGAGCGGGTTTGACGATTCTGCACCAACTTGGGGTCCTGTTTGTAGGTATTGTGTTTGGTGATCACAGATTCAGATTGGCCGGTGGCCTCGATGCTGTATGTGTCATTGCCGAGACAGATATAACCACTGAATGACAAAGACAAACAACTCTGGAGTAGAGGGATCTTCTTGCACACCTCAACCAACAATTATGATGGCTGTCCCCGTGCTAGGAGGCATGGCCCACTGCTGTCTGCTAGGCTTATTTAGTAACGGAATGTCCCCTGGTAAGTGAGTTAATCTCATAGAATAAGAGAGCAGGACCTGCCAAAAATGGGCACATTGATGGTTGCGGCAGGCTTAGAGAATATATTATATATCTTCATAATGTGTAACTAAACCCACTTGATTTAGTCAGATTATTTTTATTTTATTTTAAATTATGGGCTTTAAAGATCTTGTGGTTACAGCAATACTCTGATAATGTTGACATGAAGGCAGGTTTTCTGATATTAATTATATCAGAGGATTGACAACATTACAAGCCCTTCTAAAACCTTGAACTGCAGAGAAACCAAGAAAAATGGATGTCCTAGGCAAGAGGGTTGATCTCACAAGAGCAGTTGTTAGGTTGGCATAGCATTGGACTGGTCTTTGACAGTTAGAGAAGGTTTATGCAACATATTAACGTATATTGCAACAGAATTTTATTAATGACACGGAGGCTCCTATTATGCTATCTCTTTCTTACTTTATTCCTCAGCAGCAAAGAGAAATATAAAACTGAAAGAGAAAAAATGTAGATATGCAATAATAATAATAACAGGTACAACCAGATCTGCCTAGTAACAGGGCAGCCAATCAGTCTCTAGGAACAGTCCATAAATCTCTATCCTTGTACTTCCACTTCCTCTTTCTTTGCTGCTGTCCTCAGACCAGCTAAGTATAACTTTCTCTCCTACATTGTTTTGATTGATGGCTTTTGCTAAGGTTTTTATTAACTGTGTTGTCTTATATTATCAATTGTCTGTTTGTTTGCTGGCTTTTATGTGCCTTTTTGGCAAGCCTTTTGTGCTTTTATATTTGGGTGCCTCCTTTGGTTCCCTATTTACCTCCCCTGCGTTTGCCGCCGCTCCCCCTGTCTGTCTGACCGTTCCCCTTTCAGACAGGGTTCGCGGCTAGCAGGGGAGGTTTCTCTCTGGAGCCCTGTGCTCCCCGGCTCCCTTTCCCTCGCGGCCGCGTGTGCGGCCGCACTTATCGGCTGACCCGATCTGCCGCTGGTGCGAGGGAGTGCCGGCCGCGTGTGTGGTCGCGCTCCCCGTTCACTAGCGGGGGAGGAGCCTGGAAACGGCCGCGGCGCGCTCTGCACGCGGCGGCCATCTTCCCCTCATTTCTCCATGCGGCTGGGTCGGCTCCCTTCTCCCTCCCTTACTGTTGCAAGTATTGTAGATGTAATTTGTTCTGGTGGGTTACTCAACCCCCTTTTTTCTCCTGTATAGGTTTGTTTTCTGTCATCTGTTAGTTTTATTTAAGCCTTTACAGATTTTGCTCTACTCCTATATCAAATTTAAAGAGACAGTACTTGTTGCCTTTATTTGGTTTTTGTTAATTATGCAGGCTAGGGGTGAGGATTCGGGTAGTCCCAGTTACCCCATTATGGACCCCTCTCAGACCCCCATTACAGGGGATATGGGCCTTACTCCCTCACAGGAGTTCCAGGCCCTTTTTGATTCCACTATGCAGAAGGCCCTGGCTTCGGCCATGGGGACCGTGTCCTCGTCCCTCTCTCACACTATTCAGCAGGCGCTGTCGCAGCCTTTGGGCCATGCCGCGTTGCCTGCTCCCCTGCCTGCGCTGCAGCCTCATACGGGTCGCAAGGCACAAACGAAATTTAAACATGTCTCTCCAGAGGTGACGCAGGTGATACCTGCCTTGACTGACGTGCCTATGGCCGTCCCAGATGGCGCGTTTCCGCGCAAGAGAGCCGCTGGCCGGGCAAAATCGGCCAGAAAATGGAAACGGGCACGTGCCCGAGATGATGATGGATCGGATACCGATCAAACTGGAGAGTCAGACTCGGATCCCCCTGATTACGCCTCCTATGAGGAAGGGGTTTCCGGCGATGAGGCGGAGTTCGACGCTTCGGCGCTTCCTCCGGGTGAGGGGCAGGACATCTGTGATCCTCAGGGTTACCCCCTGTTCGATCCCGATGACCTTCGCCATCCCCGCTCGGCGGAATGGGACCCGCCCGCGCATATTGCCAATTACCTGGCGCTTCGTATGCGTACCCCCCTTTCCAAGGAGGGGCGCAGTAAACTGAGGGCCGAGTGCCCAAGGCCTTCGGTGCCTGATTCGGCGTGCAAGACGCCAGAGGTTGACCCCCAGATTTCTCAGTTCTTAACTAAGACGGGTTGGAAGCCCCGCAAAAGACTGGAATTTTCGCTGCATAATTGCCAAGACAAGATCTTGGATACCCTGGGCCCCGCCGCCAAGCTTTACGAGCTTCTAGAAGCGGCTAAGGCTGGAACGAAGCCTATTGATTTTGATGAAGCGATTGGGTGGGTCCAGAGGTTGATTTGCCTTCTCGGCAACGCGAACACAGCCATGTCGGCTGAACTCCGCAAGGCGATTCTGCTCAAAATTGAGCCCAAGTTAGTTAACCTGGCAGTGAAGGAGCCTGGTGCTTCGGCCAAAGGTTTGCTCTTCGGAGAATGTTTTGTGAAGGACTTAGGCTCCTTTGTACGCACCTTTACCGCGCTAGATAAGGCGCAGTCTAACCTGAAGAGGGTGTTCGGCCCTAAGGTTTCCCATGGGGCCGGGAGGTATAGGAGCCGTCCGCCCGGCCGTGGAGCTCGAGGTCCCCCGAGGACTCACAGAGGTTCCTTTTCCGCCCCCCGGACCTACCAAGACTATAAGCCAACGCCCTTTTTTCCCTCACGGGGGAGACCATGGCAGAGTCGGGGAGGTCGTGGACAACCCTCATACAGACGCCCTTACGGTGAGTACACCAATACGTGTATCTTGCAGAACGAGTGTGGGGGGCAGATTGGCACTGTTTCTCGATGTGTGAGGTATGATCACCACAGATGTTTGGGTCCTCAGTGCGGTCAGGGGTTTCCGCCTGGATTTATTGTCTCCCCCTGTCCAGACGTTTCTCCCACAGGAACTGAAACTACCAGCAGAGCAGTCCGCATTAATTACCGCAGAGATCGCGGAACTGTCTGCCAAACGGGCTATTCAAGAAATCCCCTACGGACACCCGGGATTTCTAAGCAACCTGTTTCTTGTCGCCAAGAAGGGCGGAGGCGTACGTCCGGTGATAAACCTCAAACACCTCAATTCTTTCCTACGTTACCATCACTTCAAGATGGAGGGCGCTCATTGTCTCAGGGACCTGCTCCGTCAGGGAGACTGGATGGTCAAATTAGACCTCAAAGATGCCTACTTGACTATACCCATGGCAGAAGAGCATTGGGACTTATTGCACTTTACGTGGCAAGGTCGTCGATGGCGTTTTACATGTCTGCCGTTCGGTCTATCTTCAGCTCCGTGGTGCTTCACAAAAGTGATGAAGCCCGTGGTGGCCTTCCTCAGGGCGCGAGGGGTCCGCATGATTATCTACCTGGACGACATACTGATTATGTCTTCATCCCCCAAGCAACTTCTCAGGCACCTAAGATGGACGGTGAGTCTCCTGGAGGGACTAGGTTTCCTCGTAAACTGGGAAAAATCCATTGTGACCCCGGTACAAAGGATAGAGTTCCTGGGCTTCGAGGTCGATTCAGTCACCCAGTTTCTGTTCCTCCCGGAGGCAAAACTCCGATCGATGAAAAAGGAGATACGACGGGCGCTGCGAGCCACCTCTCTCTCCGTCCGGCAATTGGCAAGGGTGATCGGCCTGTTGGCCTCATCGATTCAGGCAATATTTCCAGGCCCACTACATTATCGAGCACTCCAACGTTTAAAAGGGTCCCATCTTCGATCAGGGGGCTCGTACGAGAGCGTGTTGACCCTGGACAGGGACTCCAGAGACAAACTAAGGTGGTGGTTGGACCACATGGAGGCCTGGAACGGCCGGGCGATCTTTGGCTCCGCGCCGGAGGTGATCATAGAGTCGGATGCAAGCCTGCATGGCTGGGGCGCTCGCTGTGGCGGTGTCTCCACCGGTGGAAGATGGTCAGAGATCGAATCGGCTCTGCACATAAACTGCCTGGAACTTCTGGCGGGTTCGTTTGCCATTCGGAGTCTATCTCCGACGCAGGGAAATTGCTGCGTCCTCCTACGTATGGACAATGTGTCCGCAGTCAGGTACATAAACCACCTCGGGGGGACAAAATCGAAGCAGTTGGCGAACTTGGCAAAGGATTTCTGGCAGTATTGCCTACACAATGCCGTATCGGTTACGGCCGAGCACATTCCGGGTCTCGACAACGAGTGGGCGGATTGGAACTCGCGCTACCTGAAGGATTCAGGAGACTGGCACTTGCTGTCCTCGACATTTCAAAGGATAGAACGGTTGTGGGGTCCACTTCACCTGCATTTGTTCGCGTCCAGATTGAACACCCAACTACCCCAGTACTTCAGTTGGAGACCGGACCCAGCGGCCACGGCGGTGGACGCGTTCTTGCAGACGTGGCCGCTGGGACGCCATTATGCGTTCCCACCGTTCAACCTGATATCCCGGACACTGGCGTACTCAGCCAGGCAGAATTGCACGATAGTAATGGTAGCTCCGCTCTGGCACTCTCAACCGTGGTTTCCCCGCCTTCTGGAGATGGCCATAGATTTCCCACGGATAATCGAAATGAGGCCGGATGTGCTTCTGGATCCGGATGGCAAATTGCACGAATTGGTGGATCAGAACTTACTCCAACTCACGGCTTGGTTAATCTCGGGAGACCCTGGGGTGTCACGGATGTTTCGCAGACAACTGCTCGACTATTGGAGAATGCCTGGGCACCAGGTACCAGAGCGGCTTACAAGGCCGCATGGCGCGTGTGGTCTGGCTGGTGCTTGGGAAGATTGCTGGATCCACTTTCTGCCCCTCTAAATGCGCTGCTTGGTTTCCTGACGGAACGTTTCGATTCTGGTTTGGCTTATCGTACCCTTAATGTTTATAGATCAGCCATTTCGGCCGGACATCAAGGGATCGACGGATCTCCGATCGGACAACATCCTATTGTGTGCCGCTTGTTGAAAGGTATCCGTTTTGCTAGACCGCCAAGATCTAGATACTCATCGTTTTGGGACGTTAACGTCGTCCTTGGATTCTTGGACTCCTGGCCCTGTAATGAGGACTTGACACTCAAGCAGTTATCATGGAAACTGGTCATGCTCCTGTGTCTACTTTCGTGTAAGAGGGTGTCGGACGTCAGGGCTCTGGACTGGAACGTCTCGTTCACCCCCGGAGGTGTGTCGTTTAATATCTCGAGGAGGACTAAGTCGGCTTCCAAGTCGGTGGACTACCCTAGATGCTCCATCAGACCTGCTTTGTGTCCTGTGGCTTGTCTCCAGGTTTATTTGGATCGTACCCGGCTGCTGAGGTCAACTAACTTGCCTCCACTCTTTATTTCCTTGAAAGCACCGTTTCTACCGGTCTCGTCGCCGACGCTCGCCCGCTGGGTTAAAGATCTCCTTTCTGCTGCGGGTATCGACACTTCGGTTTTTTCGGCTCATTCAGTTAGGGGTGCCATGGCATCAAAGGCTTCTACGATAGGATGTCGCCTAGACGATATCTTGAAAGCGGCAGATTGGTCTAAGGAATCTACGTTCCGTGATTTTTACTTCCGCCCGATTGAACATGTTTCTTCATTGGTTGTGGCTCAGCTTTAAACTAGCATAATAGGAGCCTCCGTGTCATTAATAAAATTCCCAGATTTTACTATTAACATGACGTAAAGTCATGATTTTATTAATGACACGGAGGCGAGTATTATTCCCACCCACCCTCCCGTGGGTCTGGGTCTGGTTTTCGCTTAGGGTTCAATCGGGGGGTTCGTCTTATCTCACGGTAAGTACACATGAGGTACTTGTATTGAGTATATGGTGTTCTAGAGTGTGACAAATGTACATGGATTTTGATTATGATGCTCTTTATCTGCAGGTCACGTATATTCGATATGTTACACTCAGTTCCTAAGTTTGGAGTTTACCACATATTTCTTTGTTTTACAGCTTGATTCCGGTCTGTTGATGTCTACCGGTTTGACGTTTCTTAGTTACTGCTTGGATATTTTGCTTTGGGTCTTCGGTTCGGAAGGCAAAGAAGAGGAAGTGGAAGTACAAGGATAGAGATTTATGGACTGTTCCTAGAGACTGATTGGCTGCCCTGTTACTAGGCAGATCTGGTTGTACCTGTTATTATTATTATTGCATATCTACATTTTTTCTCTTTCAGTTTTATATTTCTCTTTGCTGCTGAGGAATAAAGTAAGAAAGAGATAGCATAATACTCGCCTCCGTGTCATTAATAAAATCATGACTTTACGTCATGTTAATAGTAAAATCTGGGAATTCTGATTACTTTAATCAGGTGTTTCTAAAAAATTATATTTAAGTTGAATTTGAAGTTGTGTGTGTTGTGTTTTATACATTTGAGCAGCAGTTTAGTAAATTGAGCTACCAGACGGAGTATGGCCTTTCCAGTCTGAATCAGAAAATATAAACGAATAAGTGGGACACTAGGGCACAGGTTCCTAATGCAGCCCATGGGAAACAAGACCTCTGAAGTCCGAGAATTTACATTTCCTCAAATATAAGCCACGATAACTTGTAGCAAAGCTACTTCTACAAAGAAGACTTCAAAATTAAAAGGGGAATAACCTATGATTACATTTACAACGTGGAGGAGTGATGGAGCCTGATAATAATGTTCTTCTAATGAAATAACATTTATTAATATTTATAATAAAAATAAAAAGGAAAATTTAAAAAACAATGTGTCTGTGAAATTAGTCTTTATTAAAATTATACTGAGTCGGTAATCTGGTCCCATTGGCAGAACCACAAAAAAAAAGACCCCCTAGATTGTGTAATATAATATACATGGTGACCATATCCATCATGTTTTCTGGGACACATATTACGCATACATATTAATGGGCAGCACATGAAAGCACAGCGATGATATTGTCAGTGAAAGTGAAGTTTTTTGCATTTCACTGATGATATCATTGTTGTGATATGTTTTACTGTTTTGAAACACTAATATTTGTGTTCAGTGAAGTCTCCCGAGTATAACAGTACCCCTCATGCACAGGTTTTATGGTGTTTTGGAAAGTTACAGGGTCAAATATAAGGCTTGATTTTCCAGGTTTTCACATTGAAATTTACCAGATTGGTTATGTTGCCTTTGAAGGCGTATGGTAGCCCAGGAATGAGAATTACTCCCATGGTGGCATACCATTTACAAAAGAAGACAACCCTAGGTATTACAAATGGGGTATGTTCAGTCTTTTTTAGTAGCCACTTAGTCAAAAAATACTGGTCAAAGTTAGCGTTCATAATTGTTTTTTGCATTTTTAACACACAAACAAATATAAATGCTAACTTTGGGAAGTGTTTGTGACTAAGTGGCTACTAAAAAAGACTGGACATACCCTGTATTGAATATCCTGGGTTGTCTACTTTAAAAAAATATGTACATGTGAGGTGTGATTCAGAGATTTATGACAGATAACAGTGTTAAAATGTCACTACTGATAAATTTAAAAAATATATATTTTTGTCCTACATAGTTACATAGTTGAAAATAGACTTGGTCCATCAAGTTCAGCCTTCCTCACATATGTTTTTGCTGTTGATCCAAAAGAAGGCAAAAAACCTAGTCTGTAGCACTTCCAATTTTGCAACAAATGGAAAAAATTCCTTCTTGACCCCAAAATAGCAGTCAGATATCTCCTTGGATCAAGCAGCTATTACCCCACTAATTAGAAATGATATCCCTGTATGTTATGTTTTTGCAAGTATTTATCCAATTGCAGTTTAAACATCTGTATGGACTCTGATAAAACCACCTCTTCAGGCAGAGAATTCCATATCCTTATTACTCTTACTCTAAAAAAAACTTTTCTTTGCCTTAGATGAAATCTCCTTTCTTCCAGTCTAAATGTGTGACCTTGTGTCCTATTTATAGCCCTGTTTATTAATAGATTTCCATATAATCGGGGTGTACTGGCCCCGAATATATTTGTATAATGTTATCATATCCCCTCTCAGGCGCCGTTTTTCCAAACTAAAGAGATTTACATTTTTTAACTACTTGTACTTATAGCCCTAAAACTTGCACACACAAAAAAAAGCTAAGAACATGTTAACATTGGGTATTTCTAAACTCAGGACAAAATTTAGAAACTATTTAGCACTGATGTTTTTTGGCGGTTGTAGATGCGTAACAGATTTTGGGGGTCAACGTTAGAAAAAGTGTGTTTTTAAAAAAAAATTTCATCATATTTCATAATTTTTTTAATAGTAAATTATAGGATATGATGACAATAAAGGTATCCTAATAAAGACCATTTAATGGTGAGAAAAATGGTATATAATATGTGTGGGTACAGTAAATGAGTAAGAGGAAAATTACAGCTAAACACAAACACCGCAGAAATGTAAAAACAGGCCTGGTCCTTAACGGTAAGAAAATGGAAAAATGGTCTGGTCACTAAGGGGTTAAAAGGAAACCAAAACTTCTCTGTAAATTATGTAATTGAATAAAATATTAAAATCACTTATGACTAAAACATATAACTTTTTTTGTTAAACTTTTTTTTGCACAGGATGCTCCATGTTCTTTTAAATTTAAGTTGATGGTTTAGGAAATGACATCACGGTACAGGCACAGCCAGGGCACACTTTGCAAATGAGTTTGAGATTTAGAAACATTGTTTCATTTCTCCTCTTCTCTGTCTGCTGTCTCTGTGCTGACTGCCAGGTGCAATGTTCAGAGCTAATAACAATGACTGACAGGAGCTAAGATGGAGGCGCCCAGTTAGACGATAAAGAGGTGTAGATTTCTACAATTAAAATATACGGTGGCCAGTCAGCTCAAATGAGCAAGCTCACTGCAGGATAAACTCAAATAATAATTATATCAGTAGAATGCTGATGCTCTTCTCATAAATCACAGAAAATACAGTTTTATTTTGACACTTAATAAGTTTACCTGAGGCCATGACAAGTGCAAACTGAAGCAAAGGATTCTGGGAGTCCTTCCACCTTCCCTGTATAGCAGCAGTGGGCCTGTAGATGAAAGGAATGTCATGTTATTATCCTGTCTTAGCCCCTTCCCTACCAAACACTTATTGTTTGAAAAAATAGTAGCAATATTTGAAACAAGGGATGCTTAGCTACCACGTAACCATATAATAAAACAACACTCTTGTGTGCTGATTGCTTTTCAGGTAAGCTTTAAAAAATATAAAATATATACATTTACACAATTTTTTTATACATTCATTCATGCTTTATAGCCATTTTTGGGACATTAAAACATTACATAGTAAACAGCGTCCTTTATCTTGTAAAAATGTTACACAGGCTTTGAAATGTTAGTGAAGTGTCAGAAAACAATTTAACCAAAATACAGTAGTAGATGTGAGAAAAATAGATACATAAAAATGGTCAAATACCATGCTTCCTAAAGGCATTACCAGCAGTACAGTTTACTGACAATGTAACAGAATGTAAAAAGAATGTCTGTGTTTGACCAGAATGCTCACATACACGATACCCTAAGCTAGTTATAGGAAGCAGAGTTTATAATAGTGATGGCCAGAGACTCGAGCAGCTACCTGTCATAGCTTGTGTGGTATGCAAAGGACACAGGGAATAATATATACAACATAACATATAAATTTCCTTAGAAAGCCAAGATATATCCTTTAGGGCTTTAGCTATTGGCCATAAGGGAAGAGAGATTTGTTTGTGAAAAATAGAGAGTCGTTTTCAAGAGTTAAAATTAAATAATGTATTTAAAAGCACAACGTATGCAAAAACTAGTCGAAAAGTTGCAACTTTTTCTATGAGCTAGCCGATATATGACTTATGTGGTACATTTTCTGATAAGCAGTTGATTGGTCCTGAATAACTCTTATAAATCCATGGGTCCAAGCCTTGCAAAGATATATTCTACTACACAAGTAGTCATTGCTGTTTAGTGCCAGATGCTGTGGATAGCGCCGCCACCTGGGCATTTCAGGCCAGCAGCAGGCAGTGTTCATCCAAAGATACACGGTCAGTAATCGGACAGCGACAGGCCACCTCGGTTGTACACAAGGAAAACACTTGCTACATGTCCAATATTGACTGCAATATGGCGAGATGAAGAAGAAACACAGCTGCGGTGAGGATGGTGCCTAAAGGTGCTGTATGTCCCCTGTGGCGTGATATATTACGTAAACAAATAAAAGTAGTAATGGGCTAAATTCCTCAGTCGCAGCACCTGTTCTCCACCTCAAGCAGAGCCCCCTCTAACTGAGATCGTTTTCATGTTTAGTTTTTTTCCGCTGAACTCTAATGAGTTTCCAAGAGGTCCACAGACCAAGGATGGATTAATGTTTAGCAAGAATGTTTAGGATTCTTCTATTATTATACAGTTCTAATCTACTGTAAATGTTATTCACATAAATGTATTTTATACTGAAAAGATATAAAGCAGGTATCCAATAAAGCACAAAGGTAAGCAGTCCCAGGACCTCACATGGCCTCATTACAGGTAACACCAGCTTTAGCTAAAGAGAACGTAGCTGTGCACAACCTATAAAATTACTAGACACGTAGGCATGTGCTATACTCAGAATAACTTGAATTTACTATCTGCTGACCATAAGAGGGACTCAACTGTGAATCTGAGAAGGAAGAAATTGCCCTGTTAGATTGAAGTCATGTACCATGTGAGATCATTTAATTTGTCATTTAGAACATCAGGATCACAGGTGATGAGGGGAGAAGTCCACCCATCGTACATGTTCTGCTGGCAGCTGAGTAGTATAGAAGTGGCCCCATTGTTTATAAGATTTCCATTACATACAGAGGACAGTTTATCAGACTCTCAATATAATGGAATTGTTAAATTCCTCTCATGACAGATCTGAGACAATTCCTAGAGTGTAGGATAATGGGAGGCCTAGTATCAGTTCTCTTCATCTCTTACATTGTATATTTTTCCAGCTGTCACGTATCTGCCCCTGGTTAAGAACACACAGCAATCACCATGTTCTGACAAACCGTGGCTGATGTGGAGAAGTGAATGGCAGGTTTATTACATTTTACGGAATTACAAGCACAGTAGACATAAATACACACTTTTTAAAAACATGGACACATAAGTAAATTCACTAAACATTGCATCGTGGAGGCTTCAGAATCATTTTGTAAAATTCAGGATTAAAGAACTGACTTGGAAGAAAATTCAAGTTTTAAAATTGTACATTTCACCGGTAAGACATCTACAAGGTTAGTGAATAAACCATAGCATGTTCTTGGTCCCGCTCTACTTTCCAATGGCACGGGTCCTTATCCCTCATTGCAACTATGTTAGGTCACAATACCAGTGATTCAGTCAAGATAACAATTTCACATGTGGAAATATGAAAATAATGAAAAACACAAAATGTCTGTACACATCGATTCATCCAAAAAATAAAATTAAATATTTTGGTTGTTTAAGGATTCGTCCACGTGGCATTTCGGTTTGGGCAAATTTTGGCCATGTAATCGTTTTAGGAGAAACCATTTGACGAACCAAAATGGAGCGAATGGGTCAATGGATTTACTGCAATATATAGAAGTAATATAAATATTATGTATATATTTAGCACTACACGGATAGGCGCATTTTATCAAGATTTGATTGACAGATGAAGTGAAAAAAAGTAACCAATAGAGGAAGAAACAACAAGCAGTAAAAATAAAAATCTCTGATTACTAAATATATAATGTAGAAATATATATATTTTTTTAACTGCTCCACATTTTGCCCTCTATTGGTTATTTCTGGTCACATGATCTGTGAATCATATGTCGAGAAAATACACAGTGAACTGCAAAATAACTCATTTGATCTGTGAGTAAAATCAACATTTAGGAGCTGTCCCCTAATTCGTTGTCTTTTTTTAGATGGAACTCCAAACCACGAAACAAATGAAATGGCTCATTCATTCCTCTTTGTTTGTTTCATAATCCAGTCATATTTGGAAATTCAAACAACTTGCCAATTAATCAACCGAAAATCAGACGAACAAACAGTAATAATGCCAATATAGTAAAACATCTCTGAATAAAGTGTAAAATAAAGGACAAAATAACAACAACCTAGCAACTGACTCTGGATTGGCAACCTAACTTAATAATGTCTAGGATGACACAAAAAATGATATTCACAAAAGATATATAACTATATCAGAGTGTAATCAGTGTAAAGGTGGAATCCAAGCTAATAGGGAAGGTATCCAGAAACCACTTTGTCGGAGGCCAAGGTCATGGAGGTTGAGAAGGTCCAGAAGAATTAGTGAAGATTAGTGATGTAGTTCAATACATGAACAATGTATTCATGACATACCAGGTGGTCCATTTCTTCTGTAACCAACGTCCCATCTACCTGATAATGGGAAGCAGTAAAATCCAACGCCAACAGGTCTCTGAAATATACATAGAGTGTATTAATTATTATTATATGTGCATACATTTAAAAATAGTGTGTGCCTGTGTAGATAGACAGACAGATATAGACAGACAGAGAACACAGACAAACAGATAGAGATAGATAGACAGACAGTGATAGACAGACAGTGATATACCCTCTGTAAAGCACTGCGGAATTTGTTGGCGCTATAAATAATAACATAATAATAATAATCAAACAGATATATACACAGACAGATAGATACATAGGTATATAGATAGATTGATAAATAGACAGACAGACAGACCACACAAACAGACAGACAGAGCTCTAAAACAACGTAGAAATTGCCTTAATAAGCGTGAATCATTATTACAGTTCCCCACACAGCAATCCATTTGAAATGTCATTGTTATGGTTAGGGTTAGAGGGTGTCTGCCTGTAAGATGGGCTTAGAGTTATTTTAGGGAGATTTAGGTTTAAGGGGCATCTGCTTTCAATATGCTGTGGGTGGACTCTAACCCCTATTATCCTCAACCCAGTTTTGGCTGCAACTGATAGGAGTTATAGTCCACAATTGTTAAAGAATAGATCGCTGTCACACCACACTGTATGGACATGAAATTACAGTGTGGAATATAACATTCATACCTACTAAGGCCTGTAAGAATACTTCATTGACATAAACCATTATCAACCGATAGTGGCCCAGTGTATAAACGGCTCCATTATAATATCGCTTTAATTACAGCCGCTATTTAAAGTCAGGGTTTTTGTTGAACTGGCAGCCCGGTCCCTGTGACACTGGTTAGCTTACAATGTAGTATTTTCCAGTCCCAGCAAGTAAAACTCACTACAAAGAGTGGTTTGAAATCCTCCGCTGAGGCCTGGGGGCTTGCAAGCATTATTTCCCCTACCGGCAGTGAAAGCTGTTAACCTCAGGATGTTTTGTACATTCTGAAAGCTGAACGGTTAAACATTCCATCTGCCAGGCAGCTCAGAGAATGCAATGCATGTAATGTTCACAGGAAGCCCCAGGAAACAGTAATACTTATTCACCAAAGTGTAAAATGTCAGAAATTCACAGATAATTTCAAATATTAGACTGAAATAGCTGAATTAGAATGATTCTCTAAATCCAGGTTTTCATTATTTTGGTTTAAATTTGCAAATCACTTAACAATCACTTTGATATCCTGCAAGTTTACATTTTAGTGAATAATAGAGTTAGTGTTTAGCTAAAACACCTCTCGCTCTCGCAGGCAGCGTGCCAGGATGTGAGGCCAGCAGAGCTGATTACATAGACCTCAACATCGATTCACGGGACGCTGGAGGCAGGGTAAAAGGAGGCGAGCCAGTGACATGAATGTCATCAATGGCGTCACCTGAAGGGGCTGAAACGGCTCTGTTGGGAAGTATGTGATTGCTTTGATAATAACAGATTTATATCCTAATGAAATCACGTGTTGAATGCAATGTCAAGATTATAAATGTTCATTCACTAAACAGTCAGGAATATTCACTAGAGTAAGACCTACTGGGAATTCTAAGTGAATTTAAAGTGACAATATTGTCGCCAAAACAACTTTAGCTCATTGAAGCAGTTTTGGTGTACAGATCATTTCCCTGCAGTGTCACTGCTCAATTATTTGCCATTTAGGAGTTAAATCCCTTTATTTATGAACCCTAGTCACATCCCCTGCATGTGACTTGCACAGCCTTCCTAAACACTTCCTGTAAAGAGTCAGCTAATGTCTACACTTCCTTTATTGCAAATTCTTTTTAATTTAAAATGTATTATCCCCTGCGCTGTTGATAGCGTGCTAGACCCCACAGAAGCATTCTGTGTATGATTAAAGTTCACTTTAGAGAGCAGGCAATAAGAAATTTTAAAGTAAGTTACATCTAATTTAATATGAAACCATTTATTTTCATGCATGGTCTGTGAGTCACAGCCAGGGGAGGTGTGACTAGTGCTGCATGGACATGAATCGTGATGCAGCCTAGAACATAAACTAACCCCATTCAACCCCCCCAATAACGACAGACCACTTAGTACGGATGAAACAGGCCACAGCATTTATTATCACAAACTAAATTACTGCATAACACATCCATAACTTTATTTATTAAATCTCTTCTTTTCTGTAACCAAAAACGTTAGACATAAATAGGCATAAATTAACATATATACATATGACTCCACACATAGTGTTATACAGTGACCCAACCTTCCTTGCCAACAAACATACAGTGGTTCCTAATCACCACTTCCTCTCACCTCCCCCCTCGTCATAAAAATCATATCTTTCCAATGCCCGCCATCAGCCGACCTTATCCACGCTCGATGGGCACGACACCTCAGGGAACCTAATGTTAACCGTTTGAAGCAGGGGAGGTTGAGACCTTAATACGTGTTCATCTCATTCCATATACTTAAACGTAACCCCTCAAACTCAATTGGCAAGGACATACCCCCGCCACAACCCCACTGTTTTACACCTAAAATCAGCGGGGGACCCCACCACAACCAGCCATGGCCTGTTCCACCACTTCATGCAGCGCTAGATGAACATAGGCCCAGTCCAACCTCCAGCAAGCGCACCCATCCCCTCAAGATAACTAGGCCACATCCGGCCAAACCCTAAGGCGAACTGGAATACCCCAAGACAAACCTAGAAACCCATCTCTCCTGATTTTCGACGGCAGTGCACTGTTTTCGACGGCACTCACATTGCTGCGCGCACTGCCAACAGGAACGGGCGATAGCCTCAGCCCAGCCCATGAGAACCTCTGGGAAGAAACAGAATGCGTAACATGTCTAGACTTAAACTGTCACCGAACCCATGTCGTTCCACCCAGAGATGACAAAACCCCCGAATAACCCAGGGGCGGAATAGCCCTCACCGAAGGAAAACAGGACACATGTCGGAACCCGGCGCTCCCCCCAATTGGAACGGTATAAATCCAACTATCCTGGGAACCTAGTACATCCTGTTAGGAGCTTAACCATCACCCTGTGCATTCCGTCTACCTCAATAGAAAGCAGAAAAGGGGCCCGGTTATGTCAAGCCCGCAACGTCCAAGAATGGAACAGATTCTATTGATGAATCAGCCAACAGCTACCAACTTACCTTTCCCAAATACAACATCCGTCGAGCGGCGAAAGCCTGAAGGAAGTCCATTCCGACGCTTACTCGATCCACCAAAACCCCTGCCCACCTGCAGATGACCGTAACATGAACGGGAAGCCGTCAAGGAAATGCACTCATCCGGCCCAATCGCTACACTTTACTATAGCGGGCCCAACACCGCCTCAGAGAGCGACCCATGGACCAGCTTCATCAGCCGCTAGACCAGGTGACTATGACTCCACTGCCTTATAACGTGGCCCCGCGGAGCCCCCACCCGAAGTTCTTCCTACAGTGACCCAGATAGAGCACCTGCCATTACCTCGTGAACCCCTGGGAAAACCCCGCCTGACCAGACACTTCCAAACTCAAACACCGCCGAGCTACGCACCGCAACCGGAGTACCCCCAGGGTAAAGGGCACTGTCACATGATATAGGCAGCCTGCACCACCTCACGATTGTCTCAATGGAAGAACCACCCACTTGTCCGTGAGTTGGGTACCCCACGCCTATCATGCAACCCGAATGGGAAGCCCCAAGACAGTCAGAGTCTGCAAGAGCCCCGATGCTTGCCAGCTTACTGGGCAAGAGTCAGCACACCATGGAAAAACCCAAAATGGCCCCAAAAACCCCCCAACCCGCTGCAGCGGCAACTGGTGGGAGTCAGTGGAAGGGACTTAGGGGGCCTGAATGCACAAGCCACCATTAATGGAGGCCCAAAAGGAAACCCCCAGACAGCCCCAAGGGCAACACAGGCAAAGCCCAGCTTACCCAGGAGAGCCCCCAGGTAGCACAGCTGAAACCCCCAACACCCCCCAAACCACCAACACCTCCCACCAGATGTACAAAACCGCATTTTGGGGCAATTGACGTTCCCCGGCCGGACTCGATCCCACTATCCAGGAGACTACCACATGTATGCCGACCCAAGAAATTCCGAAAACGCTGAAACACTACCCCAAGAAAAAAACACGACAGCATCAAAGCACGACGTGCAACACTGACGGCCCCACCCATAAGCGACATTAAGAGCCACCCGCGCGGAGGCACATAGGCACATAACACCAACCGTCACAAATACGGCCCGGAAAACAATAACCTGGTGGGTGCATCAGCAGCAGCCGGAAAGCAGATTCCACTGCTGCCTTTGTCAGCAAGGCCCCAGAGCCCTGCAGCCCAAACCACGCGGACCGTTGTGTCCTGCCCTCCCATACCTAACCCCTTGGAGGGAAAGACAACTGAGTAAATAAGAAATCATGTGATATCAACCCTGCCCCTCTATGGGCACCATGTCCCAAGGGGGGACCCGCGGAGTGGACTTCGGGGGCACCCTAAAATTGGTCAGGAGGTACGCTTATCAAGCTTTCTCGGTAACTCCCGCACCACCCGATGGATGTCTCATATGGGCCTAAAGGTCCTGCTCAGAGAGCACCCGCGTTCCCTATCCCGACAGATTGCCCGCATGAAAAACGGTTTGGGACGGGATAGGCCCCCCCTGCGACCGGAGCCCTCGTGCTGGAACGGCATGAGGACCCCATTTTCTGTCAGCAAATTCCCACCAACCCAGCTCACCCTAGGAACGACACGCATCTCAGAGAGTGTCTTGACAGCAATCCTCTCCCCGACAATGCTATCCAGAAACATACGATGCCCTGACACACTTCCTGCGCGTCATGGGGAGCAACCGATTACGGTATTTTTTTCCCACGCCCCACCTGGAGTCCCTCCCAAGCACGTTGCCCCTCGCGGCATGAGGGAACATAAAACCAATGCCAGCGCTATTAGCTGTGCAGGAAGCTGCAGGAAACTGTACTATAACATATGATAAATACTGATAAGGGGGGAGGGGAGTAAATAACTGGAGTGGACTCCCTGGTAAGCGGCATCCAGATACCGTTTTCCTTTTTCTTCCTTTTTTTTTTTTTTTGAATTTTTTATTTCTCATTCTGTTCAGGTATTCATTTTTTTTTTTGTTTGAAGTTTCCAAATTTTTATTTAATCATTTAGTTATATATTTATTAACTTTTTTGTTTTTGTTTTTTTACTTAATCTTGTATTTCACATTGTAGTCATGTATTCCTTCAGTTTTATTTTTTTTTTTTTACCTTTCTAAATTTGTATTTATTCCTTTTCTTTTGTTCCCCCCCCAGCTCTAAAGGGACCCGACTGGATACAAGAAGGGACAACGTACTCACCAGCCAATGCCCAGTGCACCACCCACAAGAGGAGAGAAACAGAGAGAGGGGAAGGGGGAAGGGGGAAGAGAACAGAAAGAAGGGAAAAGGGGGTGAAAGAACAGAGGGACCGACAGAAGGAAAACAGGGGGACACCAGGGGAGGAGCTGAGGCCCCCCCCCGGAATGCCAAAAGGGGAACCGGAGAAAAGAAGGGAGGGAAGAAATTGAAAAAGGGGGGGGGGGTGCAGGGGAGAGAGGCCCCCCGGGCGCCATCCTCACTGGCAGAGGAGGCCCCCAGGAGAGGTCCCCCCACACCCAACAGCAGCAAAGCAGTCCCCTCTTGGCCCCGCCGGGCTCATTCACTTCCGGGGCCCTGTCCCAGGCCCTGCCATCGCGCCCGCCATGCAGCGGTGTCAGAAGGCCCCTGGCCAGCCACACAAGGCACGGGACGCGCCGACTGCCTCCTACTGCCTCCAGCGCGAATCCCAACGCCGGAGGCCGCAGCCCGTGATCCAGGAGGGCACTCATCCGCATGTCTGGAGCCTCAGACAGGCGGCCGGGTGAAGCCTCAGGCCCGGGTTCCACCTCCTTAACCGGGCTTGAGGAGCAGCATCAGGGGGGTAGCGGAGCCGGCGGGCAGGGGCCACAGGGAAGGCCCCAGATAGATTAAGTTATGCCACGGGGGGGGGGACCCACACTGGCAGCCACCCAGGAGAGAGGGGGCAGGGGCCACAGGGAAGGCCCCAGAGGGACACAGGCCGCAGGGGGGAGCACCCACACCTGCAGCCAACATGGGAGAGGGGAGCAGGGGCCACAGGGAAGACCCCAGATGGAGACAGGCCGCGGGGGGAGCACGCACACCGGCAGCCACCCAGGGGAGGGGGGTGCAGGGGCCACAGGGAAGGCCCCAGAGGGACCCAGGCTGCGGGGGGAGCACCCACACTGGCAGCCACCATGGGAGAGGATCCAGGGGAGGAGAGCACCTGAATCAGGAGTCGCCGGCCACCATCCACGCTGCAGCAGCTCTGAGGGAAGCCAGTAGGCCTCAACCTCCATCTCTCAAGCTGTGAAACTATAGGCCCAGGCAAACAGGAGATGGAGGACAGGAAGCTGTTTGCTGGCCCGAATCCCAAGTGGCACTGAGGTAAAACCTCCCCCCCACTAATTTACACAGAACATAATCCCACCCACACACTCTTTCCCAACCAATCCCATGCATCTATCCCCACACTCCTACATGTGCCCTTGTCCGCTTAGCTGCGCTATCTCCCCAGGGCCTGAAACAAAAGGGATTTGACTCCTAAATTGCAGAGATTTGAGCAGTGAGACTGCAGGATCATGATCTATACACTAACACTGCATCATTAAGCTAAAATTGTTTTGGTGACTATAGTGCCCCTTTAAAGTTCCTCTTTGTCCCTTTATAAATGTTTGGATGTATACACTCCCCCTTTCTGACAGCCATCTTGCTGCACCTTTGGTTGGATTGTCAGGTTTCTGAACCAAAACTCACTATTTTTCAACCATTCATTGCTCATTAAAATCACCCGACAGAACTTGATTCTAGACAACAAAGAACACGAATTGTCACATAGGAGCAATATGCATTCTTTCGCAAAATTTAAATATAATTGGGACAAATGGGAAGAAGATGTTAAAAAAGTCTAAAGTTTATAAATAATTGATTTATTGTTGAACTGTATCATTGTACAATTTATGTTATGTACATTAGTATTTTTATTGTTACAATGGATGGAAAGTTGGACACTCTTTCCCACTTCCAAGTTTCCCTTTCCTCACCTACCCCTAATATAATTGTGACGGACCGCTGGCACTCCGACCGAGTACCTCCGCCAATCGATGCTCCTAGTGCTTGCCGAGGACTCCAAGCACTCCAACCGACACCATCCGCACTGCAGACCCCACTTCCAGCGATGCAGCTGCGCCAAGGTCTCGCCGTCTCTCACCCACCCTGAATCCAAGGCCAGGATCCAGCTTCCAGTGGGTGAACCTCTCCTAAATCCAGAGAGCAGGAACCAGGAACAAAACAAGCTCTTGCAAGAGCTGACTCTGGGGAGTATGTGATTATAGCAATCCCCAGAGTGTAGTTATCCCATCCCCCAAGCATGAGCCAAGGCTTCAAGAAAGGGTCAAATAGTTCTGGTTTATTGAGGGCTACCTGCCCGGTATTTATGCAAGTGTCCACCAGGTGAACACTCCCCTAGGGGACCTGATGGAACAATGGGACACATATTGGATATTAGCCAATCACAGACAATATAAACAAAATAATCCCACAGTTACATCAGAATCCCTCCACTCTATCCTGGAGATAATTGGGAAGTAATCAAATTATCTCCCAGGACAGAGGCAAGACTCCATTAACCACATGGTTACAAAAAGACATAAAATTACACAATGTTACAATTACTACATAAAACATTATTACCGAATGGTGCTCAGATCACCTACATACAGTTAAATCGCCATAGAGCCAACGTCTTTTCCATAGTCTTTTGTTACACGAATAGGCTCCACGGCATAGCTATCTGGGGTAGCACTACTCACATACAGAAAGTTCCGTACGCCCCGGCAGAAATACACAAATATACCTTTCTGCAGGGGAAAATACAGCTATCAGCACAGGGGCCATAGTCGGAAGGCAGCAGGCTAGCCAGTAGTCCCCTCCAGGCACAAGTGGCGAAGGGCACTTCGTCACAATAATGTTTGTATGATTTGTTATAAATTTTATAAACCTTTAATAAAAAATTATTTGAATTTTGTTTTTTAAATCACCGACAGAAAATGCTGCACGCATAAAGTGCCCAGAGCTTTGAAAAGCAAAGGGAGAGTGGCACAGGAAGGCATTTCTTCTGA